ATTACACGGGAAGAAACTCAAGATATAAACTGTACACACATATATACCCGTGAAAACTTACATAGACATATATGTATATCTATATATATGTGTGTGTGTGTGTGTGTATATATATGTATATGTATATGTGTTACAGGAGCAAATGGAAGCACACCACCACCTGAGTTGCAGGGGGATTTGAGCTGGTGAGCTGCGTTGAAGCAGACTGACACCCACCATGAAGAGCTCGCAGGGCCACAAACACGAAGCCAAACAACAACAACGCAGCTCACCAGCTCAAATCCCCCTGCAACTCAGACTAAGCTGAGCACAACCAAGCCCCCACCCAAACAGAACACAACCCCAGCCAATCAGAGCACAGCCAAGCCCCTAACCAATCAGAACACACCTCCACCCAATCAGAACACAGCCAAGTTCCCACCCAATCAGTTCACACCTCCACTAGCAGTTAAAAGGAAGAGACAGCTGCGATCTCACATTGCTCCTGGAAGCACGAAGCCGAGAACACCAGCCTGAAGATGACGAATGAGACTTCGTCGAAACGTCGCCAAGACACTTCCAATTTTACGTGGGAGAAGACCCGAATAACCAAAGACCTACATACAAACACCCGCGAAAACCTGAGAAAACAAATATCCCACCTCTACGGGGAGGAAATCCACCATCTGACCAGGACCTATGAAAAACTCGAAGTCCAAAGAGCTTCCATTTTATGTGACCTTGCATTCCTACGCAACTGCCGAGATCAAAATTTAATCCCCACAGGCTTCCAACTGAAATTCCACTTCAACTCTGCAGCCACCAAACGCATTCTGAAAAGAACAGAACTAGCCCTAATCAGAAATGAACTCCACAGAAAAAGATTCCTCCTAGACCGAATCAACAAATATCTCCTCACACTTCACCTCAAACTCAGCAACAAGATCCACCCCGCACTTTGGGACAAATCCAAACAACTTGCCATCCGGAGAGCCGAAACACAGACCACCCTCAAGACAGACACACACACCAACAAACTCCGAAGACTACAAGAACGCCAGAAACAATCCCCTCCACCCTCACAGCCACACATGAAACAAACAGTGCATAACATCTCAGATAGGATCCTCACCAAAGCCGAAACCAATGTCCTTTCCAAAGGATTCAACTTTGCAGTCGCTCCCAAAAGCATCCCCACTGAAACCATTATATGCGGAGTTGAAACCAGCCTGACCAAAATCAACCCCGACTATGCAAACAGAATCAGACTCGAAATCACCAATATCCTCTGCACCAGCAAGCCACCCAAAAGTAACTTACCCAAAGAGGAACAGACAGCACTACTTAACCTGAAAGAAGACACCAGCATAATAATCCTACCAGCAGACAAGGGCAATGCCACGGTGGTTATGAACACATCTGACTACCAAACCAAATTAACCAACCTACTCCAAGACTCCATATACAAACCCCTAAACACAGACCCCACCACCTACCTGGAAAAAACCACCAGATCCAAAATAAAAGCCTCCCCCATCAGCGAAGAGATTCAGCAAAGAATCATACCCAGAGAGAAATCATCCAGATGCCCTAAGCTTTATGGTCTCCCCAAGATACACAAAAAAGGAACCCCACTTAGTACCATAGTCAGCTCCATAGGCTCACCTCTACAAAACCTAGCCAAATTTCTCGCCAAACAACTACAGCCCTATGCAGAATCCATCACCTCATACGTAAAAAACTCATTCCAGTTCATAGACATCATAAAGCAACAAAAGTTACAGCCCAGTGACCTACTCGTGAGCTTTGATGTCATATCCCTCTTCACCCAAGTACCAATCAAAGAAGCCTTGACAGTTATCCAAAACAAATATAACCCCCCCAAGCACATCTTAGATCTGACCAACCACTGCCTATCCAACACATACTTCATCTATAATGGACAGAAATACAAACAAACAGAAGGAGCACCCATGGGATCACCCCTCTCACCTGTCATTGCCAACCTCTATATGGAATACTTTGAAACCCAAGCCCTAGAAAAATCCGATCACAAACCCAAACTCTGGCTCAGATATGTGGACGACACCTTCATAATCTGGCCACATGGGAAAGAAAAACTGGACAACTTCCTCACACACCTCAACAGCCTACACCCCAAAATACAGTTCACCATGGAAACAGAAGTGAACAACCAACTTCCCTTCCTGGATGTCTTAGTCTACAGAAAATCCAATGGCTCCCTAGGACACACTATATACCAGAAGAAAACACACACAAACCGCTATCTGCACGCACTCTCACACCACCACCCTGCCCAGATCAACTCTGTGGCCAAAACACTCATTTCCAGAACAAAACGCTTAGCTGACGAACAACACCTAAAAACCGAACTACACACCCTCACTAACGTACTCACATCCAATGGATTCCAAAGAAATAAGATCACCAACCTAATCCAAAAAGAAACCCCCACTAAAATCCAAGACAGAGAACAAGAAAACGGCAAGGCCCTCCTCCCATACATAAAAGGCACCACAGACAGAATAAGCAAAATCCTCCACAAACATAACATCAAGACAGCATTCTGCACAAACCGAAAAATATCCACCATCCTAAGGAACCCCAAAGACAAAATTGAGTTAGAAAATCAAGGAGTATATGAAATCCCATGCACCGCCTGCCCCACCACATACATCGGACAAACCAACAGACGAATAAGTGCACGCATAGAAGAACACAAGAACTCAGTCAGAAAAGAGGAACCAACTTCTTCCCTGGTCCAACACCTTAAAGCCACAGGACATGATATTGACTTTAAAAAGACCAGAACTATCGCCAAAACTGAACACTTTAACAACAGAATAATCAGAGAAGCCATTGAGATAGAAAAACGCCCACACAGCATGAACAAACGAGACGATACCTCCCGCCTACCAGCCATTTGGAAACCCGCCCTTATTGACAAACGAGTCCCTAACACGACGAATGACACCAGACCCACACTCACGAGTGCCACACCTGATGTCACCACCACACATCCACGCAGAAAGCAGACTCAAACCCACACTGATAATGAGCCACGACCAAGGACCAGAAGCCAGACCGCAGCTGCATCATTAGCCACTTTAAAACCCTCCAATCCATACATGAAGCAGACTGACACCCACCATGAAGAGCTCGCACGGCCACAAACACGAAGCCAAACAACAACAACGCAGCTCACCAGCTCAAATCCCCCTGCAACTCAGACTAAGCTGAGCACAACCAAGCCCCCACCCAAACAGAACACAACCCCAGCCAATCAGAGCACAGCCAAGCCCCTAACCAATCAGAACACACCTCCACCCAATCAGAACACAGCCAAGTTCCCACCCAATCAGCTCACACCTCCACTAGCAGTTAAAAGGAAGAGACAGCTGCGATCTCACATTGCTCCTGGAAGCATGAAGCCGAGAACACCAGCCTGAAGATGACGAATGAGACTTCGTCGAAACGTCGCCAAGACACTTCCAATTTTACGTGGGAGAAGACCCGAATAACCAAAGACCTACATACAAACACCCGCGAAAACCTGAGAAAACAAATATATATATAATATATATATTATTATAGTGGGACGCAGTGACTCAGTGGCTAAGACGCTGAGCTTGTTGATTGAAAGGTCGGCAGTTCAGTTCGAATCCCTAGTGCCGCGTAACAGGGTGAGCTCCCATTACTTGTCCCAGCTTCTGCCAACTTAGCAGTTCGAAAGCACATAAAAAATGCAAATAGAAAAATAGGGACACCTTTGGTGGGAAGGTAACAGTGTTCCGTGCGCCTTTGGCGTTTAGTCATGCCGGCCACATGACCACAGAGATTTCTTCGGACAGTACTGGCTCCTCGGTTTGAAATGGAGATGAGCACCGCTCCCTAGAGTCGGGAACGACTTAGCACGTATATGTGAGGGGAACCTTTACCTTTACCTTTTAAAACTATATTAAATTTTAAATTATTTCTATTATTTTTAGTTAACAAAAGTTCAAAGTTTCAACATACTGAAACTTAACAAAGCAGAAAGTTTTGAATCCTGGAATCTCAAAATGATATGTAGGCTGTGCCCTGCTCACCCTGAATATCATTCTGGTTCTCTATATTATTCTATTTTTGATACAACTATTCAGCCCAGCAAATAGTATGATATGAACATGGGAATGAGCCAGGATGTGTGGGCTCCACTCTCTGAACTTCAAACAGCATTTAACCAAGACAGGAATTACTGAACTGAGACTTGAGAGGGGAGGGGAGGCAATATGTTTGGTTTGCTGTATCTAAATAATCAATGAATTACAGTAGTACTACTTTGTGAGTGGAATCTACATAGTGAGTGATTATCGCTCCAAGTAATAAAATTGATTTCTGTATTATCTTTGTATAGTCTTTGCTTTAAATAAATATATGTGCTTCTGTTTGTTTGCCACCAGTGTTTCCATTCTAATGAGGTATGAAATATATTGCCCACCCTCCTCTGTTGAAATCATTTGTCTTTTCTGCTGCAGTCTGAAATGCATAATTACCATATTGATCAAAATCAGTAATTGATTTTGGTTTTAAAGATGCAGATGATGTTGTGATATGCTGATATGAGACGGAAATAACTTGCAAATATATGCGTCAAAAATCTTTGCTGCTAGAAAGTTATTCAATAATAGTTTTATTGGTCTGAAATTCACATTTTTCTTTGGTTAAGCACAAATTCTATCAGTAAAAGAATCACTACAGTTATTTAGTCACTCGTGGAACGTATTTCAAGTAGCATTTGTGAATTTCTGAATATTAAGAGTTGCTTTGAGTATTATTCATCTCTGCATGCTGTTTACAGTGAAATTGGAAATCTAAGCAAAAGGATAAACTACCTTCATTCTAGCAGCACTGCTTAATTCCAAGCATTATGGTTTTCATTTGAGTATATTTAATGGTGCCCTAAAATGTAGGTAGAAGAAGAAAAAGATACACTGTATTTTGTTTCTTTTATTTTTTAGGTCAGTCCTTGTCAATCACATGGCAAAAGATCATGCATTCAATATTGGATTGCCAGATAACATTGTGAACTGTAAGGAGTTTTTGGATGTTCTTCAGAAAAAAATTGACAGGTACCTATTTGTATATGGCCAAGAATTAAAACCTGGGTTAATTGTCTGGCTTCTCAAACCTGGGTAAATTGTCCAAAATTGGGAAAAAGTGACACAGGAAAGGATAGCGCAAGCACAGCCAGTGTCAACCCTGAAGCTGGCCTGACTGAGGCCATTTTAAGACTTCAGCGCTGAGACACTGGAGAAGAGGTATAGGGAGGAGGGAATAGAGATAGTTGGGGTTTATAGTCAAAACAAAATACTTTCTCTTGGGAACCAAAGACGTTCTTGCAGCTGCTCGGAAGGAGGGGACTGGAGTCACCTAGCAACTGGACAGTATCCTGATTGGACCATGTGAATGATTGTTCTGAGAAAGTGAAAAACTTTTAATTAGGTGAAAACCGCAGGAATAGGCAAAGTCAGTTTTCACCAGCCTGTGCCAATATGATTTATCCAATAAACTTATTCTTTGAGGAATTTACCTACCTCAGAGTTTTGTTTGCTATGCGTATGTTACTTGGAACCCTGACAGCCAGGACATTTCAATTAATTTAAAGTAGTTTATTACCGTATGTTTTGGACTATAAGATGCACCGGTGTATAAGACGCACCAAGATTTTGAAGAGGTAAGCAAGAAAAAAAAGTTTTTGCCCTCCCCGTCCCCCAGGAGCACTCTACAGGCCTCCCAAACCCTCTGTGCGTCCCGTTTTTGCGAAAAACAGGCCCGTTTCTTGAAAATATGTGATGCGCCGGAGGGGGGGGCTTCAGGAAGCCAAAAATGGCTGTGTTCGGTGTATAAGACGCACCAATATTTCCACCCTCTTTGGGGGGGGGGAGTGTGTCTTATACTTCAAAAAGTACGGTAATATTGGGTAAAAAGGATCTTCTGATAGAAAAGTTTGAGAATGAAGGACAAAGTCTGGGAAGCACTGAATTAAAGTATCTACATAAGTGGTATGTGATATTAGTTTTGTCTATGGAGATTCTCAGTCATTCAGTCACAATTGTCCCAAAGGTACTTTTTCAAGAGTCAATTGGACTTTCTCGTTTTTCTTTGAAGACTTTTCACTTCTCACCCAAGAAGCTTCTTCAGCTCTGACTGAATGGGGAATAGAAGGATTTATACTCCTTGGAAAAAGTTGGTCATTTGCATTCTTTTAGCGAGTCGTCGAGGCCACATGGAGGTTTATCTGTTGTCAGGGTCACCTGATTAGTGCAAATGGGAATGGAGTCTTCTTGGAACTGTTGAAAGGACTGTGTTGTAGACTGGAAATAGATAATGTCATATCCGTCCCCCTCTGTTGAGAGAGGGCTGTTCAATTTTGACATAGATGGCACAGGAAGGGTTCACCAAACATATCAACTCTGTGGACAAATACATCAAATTCACATGGGAAAGTGTTAAGGAAAATAGTCTAGCCTTCCTGGACTGTTCAGTACACATCAAAGAATACAGAAGCCTGTAAACATTGAAGTTTACAGAAAACCCCTACACACAGATCAATAATTACATTTTGATTCCCACCACCCACTGGAGCATAAAATGGGAGTCATCAGAATCCTACACAACCAAGCTGAAGGCCTGCCTATGAGCAAAGATGGGAAAGACAAAGAACTAAAACATATCAAGGAAGCCCTCAGAACGTGTGGCTATCCCAAATGGGCCTTCATCAAATCTCAAAAAAGACCCTATAGGAGCTCCTCCATAGCAGACAACAAAGAATACAATAAATGAAGCAACGTTATCATTCCATACGTTGCAGGAATATCGGAGAAGCTTAGGAGGATCTTCAGCCAACACAACATACTTCAAACCCAAGAATACCCTAAGGCAGAAACTTGTCCACCCCAAGGATAAAACACCCAGACACAAACTAAGCAATGTGGTATGTGCAGTAAAAGGCAATGAGCCATGTGCAGATCTCTGCATTAGGGAAACAAAACAACCACTTCATAAACACATGGCACAACATAGGAGAACAAACCCATCAGGACTAGATTCAGCAGTCCATCTGCATTTGAAAGACAAAGGCCACTCTTTTGAAGACAGCAAAGCCCACAATTTGGACAGAGAGGACCACTGGTTTGAAAGATGGGTCAAAGAGACTATCTATGTCAAAATTGAACAGCCTTCTCTAAACTAGAGTGGGCGGGATATGACATCATCTATCTGCAGTCTATAACACAGTCCTTTCAACAGTTCCAAGAAGGATCCACACCAGTGTTGGGTTTCTAGTGGTCTGCCCCGGTTCGGGTGAACCAGTAGTGGCGGCGACGGGAGGCTCTGCCTACCCGCTCGGACATCATCACGGTCACTCTGCGCATGCACAGAAGGTTCTGCGCAGAAGTGCCCTGCGTGCGCACTCCCGATTCCGAACCGATAGCAAAGGTAAGTGGAACCCACTACTGCTCCACACCCATTTGCACTAATCAAGTTTGACCCTGATGACACAGATAAACCTCCAGGTGGCCTTAACAACTCACTGAAAGAATGCAAATGACCAGTTGTCTGTAAGGAGTATAAATCCTTCCATTCCCCACCATCCAGTCAGAGGTGAAGAAGCTTCTTGGATAAAAAGCTAAACATCTTCAAAGAAAAACCAGAAAGTCTAATTGCCTCTTGAAAAAGCACCCTTATGTTATTAGTTTTGTTTTATAATGGTAGCTCCACATTCTGTTTTAAATTTATATATTTACTTTCTCTTTTTTCTTCTCTTTTTTAATAAATAAAAAGTTGAATTACCACTGTTCTGAATGTTGTATCTTTTCTGAAACTGTCTATTACTGATTTACCTGACATCTATTTAATCATGGAAGGATTTGGGAGGCTTTTAACATTGCTGTGAGTTAATTATAAAATAAGTCATATTGTTGTGGGTTAGTTATAAAATAAGTGATATTTGAGCCTAGATTCCGGGCACTTTAATTTTTATTTTTAGATTTTTTTATTCCATCTTTTTTTCATATGCAGTTCATGGCACAAAAATACCAATATTCTTTCCTTCTGTTTTCCCTCTATAACGACCCATAAGGTGAGTTGGGATAAGAGAGAGAGAATGATTGGCTCAAAGTCACCCAGCTGGTTTTTCATACCTAAAGTGGGATTAGAATTCACAATCTCCTGGTTTATAGGCTAACACCTTAACCATTACATTAAACTGCCTCTCCAGTTTAACAATTGAACAGAGTTGATTTTGGATGCTGCAGATGTTGCTTGAATAATTTATTAACAAAAGTTTTCTTAAATATCTTTCTGATGCCTATAAAGAGAGTCTTACATATTTAAAAATGAACCAGTTTGGTTAGCATCACAAGTAATTTTGCTAATTGATAGTATTATAATAATTTCATTTTTCTTTTGCTAACTCCTAGTTTCCAATGTTTATACTGTGAAAAAACATTTGGGGATAAGAACAAACTCAAGGACCACATGAGGAAGAAGCAACATCGTAAAATCAATGCTAAAAACCAAGAATATGACAGATTTTATATTATTAATTATTTGGTAAGCTGTATGTATACATATATATATTTAATTTATATTTCCTTTTAATTATATTGAATTAATACCAAGTTGCATTTTAGATCAACAATAAAATACCAACTATTAATGTGCTTCATGCACAGACGGGTGATCATTTAACTGGGTTCAGTCAAATGACTGTTTCAGTTTTTGACCAACTAAAAGTGGCTATTATTGGCTGTTAATTTGGGGCTACAGAATCAATTGTAAGGTTACAAAATCAACTGTAACTGTTGATATAATTTAAGTTGGTATAATTTAAGAACAGCCTGTGCCTTTAAATTGTAAAGGAAATAGCTACAAAACTGTAGTAATAACATAGACCATAAAAGCTACTGTGAAGCAATTATGGAACTCAGAACTCTATTATAATGCTATAAAATCATATCAGATTACAATTTTAGATTTAAAAAAAATAAGTTTATCAATTTTAAAATAACTATATAGTATAGTAAAAATAAGATATAAGTGAATCTGTGTTATCTGTAATACACCATAACTGTTGGGGATTGAGAATTTTACAGGCAATTCTGTCTCTTTGGGTTATTCAGAATTAAAGCACTTTTTCCTTGTTGGCAGTTATCTTCTTGTTGTCAACCTTTACCTTAGAATTTTTCAAGAAATCCTTCCAACTTAATAGTTAGTTGATTAATTGCTTGGCAGCCTTAAGTGGTTGAGATACACTTACAGTACATAAAGACTCTCAGGTTGCAAACCTTCATTAGTTAATGCAATGTATTACAATTCTTAATTTCAGAATTCTTGCAAATAATTAAGCAATATTTTAAATTGTTTAGAAAAAATATAGTAGGCATACAAAACATGTGCTGTGTTCCAATCCTCTGTAATTTGGGAGTTTTAGATCCTCTGGACATTTCTGAACTCATGAAATGAAGAGGTAATTGGACTGAATATAAATACTTTGTCATTTCACAATTTTAGGCAATACAGATACCTCCTGCGTTAAATCGCATGTTTTAAATTGGCAATAAAAGGCCAAGCTCTTGTCACAATGTCCAAAGATCACATAGTAGCTATGTACTGATTTATTTTTGTTGGATCACTTGCAGTACCCAGAGAAATCCAAGTAAAAATCACCAGTGATAAAACTGAAAGTCAAGAAAGTTAACCTATACCACCAAATTATTTGTATCTTGTTCATTCTGAAGAACAGGTAATCCTCGAGTTACGACAGTTCATTTTGTGGCTGTTCGAAGTTACGCAATAACTCCCCCAAGTGTCCCCCCAAAAGTCCCGAAATTACTAATGCTGAAGCACCATAGCAGTCATTTGCCCTTACAAACAACCGCAGAGGCATTGCAACATTCAACCTATTCCCCCCTGCCTGCCAAAACTGATTCCCCTCCTCCCATCCTACTGCACCAGACTCACCTTGCAAAGAACTGTCTCCGCTCTGCTGTGGTTTCTTTGCCTTGAGGTTTTTGAAAGCTCCCCGCACAAAATTGATAGCTTGCTCCATCATCCAGTCAGCTTGGCCCTGTTCTCTGCCCGCCTCTTCCTCCTCCTCCAGTTTTTCCAGCTCTATTCTCTGTTCCACTGGGGACTGCCACAGTTTCTGCAGGTGAAAGTCACCTCCAAGGGCTTCTCTTCCCAGTCCTTCCTTCCAATGCCCAGGGACCACCATTCAGAGAGATCCAGCCAGGAAAGGGGCCTGGATGAAGCCTCCCCCCAGCATTCGGTCTCCTGGTCACTCGCTTGAGCTGACACTGTGTGCACGGTCCCCACGTTAGAAGTGATGTCCTTTCCAGGCTGATCACAATTGCAGATTCTGCTTAATGTCAGACCTGCCCCAGTTTAATCCCTTAAGGAAATAAAACTCTTGACTCCATTTGAAGTGAAAGGCACTTTTACTAAGGAATACTGATTGCAGTAGAATCAAGTGGAATCTGAAATTCCCACTCAGCAATACAGAACTAAAACCCCAGTTTCCCTAGACCTCCCCCCGTAATCCATAGCATAGCCAATCCAGCATCACTGTGATATTGTGATAAACTCTGAGATGTTTGGGTTGGTGAAATTCCACACTCAGGGCAAACGAACTTGAGGATGCCAGGGCACCAGCACAAATTGGATTCCAGGCTGCTCTGTTCTTCTTCAACTGTCAATTCCCCCTCCGAATTTCCCATCATAAAAGTGTGCAGCAATCTCATCATTTCCCCCCCTTATTAAAAAAACTTCATTGTCACTTTAAATGTACACTAATCGGTGTACATTAAAATGAAAATTTGTTGCATACAGCTCTCAAAGGGTCACCATCTCCAATATACACTACATAAACATGACAAAGAAAGAAAGAAAAATTATGTATATACCCACATATATTATATGATACAGAGAAACAACATAGTCTAATTTGCATGTATAGATGTACATGATGAGAAAAATGAATCTTGCGAGTTTACCAGAAGGATGGCATAGGGAACAAAGCTGTTACAGAATCGGGTAGTCCTGCTAGAAATACTGCAAAACCTCCTCCCAAAGGGAAGCAACAGAAACAGGCCGTAAAGTGGGTCTGTGGCAGGTATGGGTTTCACTTACCTTTGCTACTGGTTCACTCGTGTGAAGCTTCTGTGCGTGCAAAGCTTCTGCATATTTGATGACGTTTGGGTGGATAGGCTGAGCCTCCCGCCACCGCTGCTACTGGTTCACCTGAACCGGAGCGAACCGGTAGGAACCCACCACTGGTGTATGGGGTCTCTAACAATGCTTTGAGCTCTAAGCACAGGCGCTTTTAAGCAACATCCTAAATAATGGGAAGCGAGCTTCCTATAATCTTCTCAGCTGTCCTTACCACTCTCTGTACAGACCTTCTAGCTGAGGCACTGCTACCATCAAACCAAACAGTGATGCAACTTGTTAAAATGCTCTCAATCATTCCTCTGTAAAAAGTGGCCAGGACAGAAGGAGAAAGATGTACTCTCCTCATCCAACACAGGAAATGCAGACGCTGGTTTGCACACTTCACTAAGGATGACATGTGGAGAGACCAATTCAGATTGTTAATTATCTGCACCCCCAGATACTTAATACGTTTGACCACCTCTACAGCTCTACAGCTGCATCCTTGATACTGAGTGGAGTATGACCATGATGGCTTTTTCTAAAATCTATGATGATCTCCTTTGTTTTATTAACATTTAGAACCAGGTTACTTTTATTGCATCAGTCCACCAGAGTCTTCACCTCTTCCTTATAAGCATCTTCGTTATTGTTCTGGATAAGGCCCACCATTGCCGTGTCATCTGCATACTTCACAAAATGATTTGTAGCAGATTTGGCACAGCAGTCATAGGTCATCAAGGTGAACAATAGCACACTCAAGATACAGCCCTGTGGGGAACCTGTACTCAAGGAGATGGAGTTGGAAACTTTTCTTCCAACTTGCAGAAACGGGGGTCTATCAATAAGGAAATCAAGTATCCAGTTACATAAAGGAATATTAAAACTTAATAGGCCCAGTTTGTTCACCAAATGCTGAGGAATGATTGTCTTGAATGCTGAACTAAAATCAATTCATCTGCACATAAATATTCTCCTCCTCCAGGTGCGCCAAGCTAAGATGAAGCATACAGGAAGTGCATCATCTATAGAGGTACTTCTGGTAAAGGATTATATGGTTTCATGCCTTCTCCCTACATTTGACTCATTACAGTCAAATGTAGGGAGAAGGCATGAAACCATATAATCCTTTACCAATCTCTCAAAACACTTCATCATAATGGAAGTGAGTGCAACTGGACGGTAATCATTAAAGCATGTATTGGTTTTTTGAGCACTGGTACAATGATTGCAGTCTTAAAACATGACGGAACCATGGCCTGATGCAATGAGAGATTGAAGATGTCTGTGAGAACAGTGGCCAACTGGTCAGCACACTCCTTAAGTACTTGCCCAGGGGTATTATCAGGACCTATAGCTTTTTTCTTTTTTTTTTTTGTAAACAAGTTTTATTAACATTTTTTCTTTCATCACACATATTTTATGAACAGAGTGTTGTCCAGGTCACATCTTATACATCTTATATATATTAATTTTTATAATCTATTCCAATCTTCCCACTTTTTCCATATTCATCCCTTTTATATAATTCTTTATCACAAATTCATCATTTTTCACCATATCTTGTTATTTCATCTCTTCTTTCTCCCCCCCCCCCCCCCAATACATTTTATATATTTCCAATTTCGGCCACAATATTCTTTTTCCATATTTCTTTATCTGATCTTAATCTCTTCTTAATACATAATACATAAACAGTATCACTATCCACCCTTTAATTCCTAATTTCTTACACTAACATCAATTAATTATCTTATTTCTCCTTTTGCAGAATATATTTCTCAAAATCCCCATCCCACTTTTTAACATTTCAATTTTGTCTCTTAATTTAACTTGTCTTCATAATTAAATCCAATTGCCATTTCATACTTTATTTGCTATTCTGTTTTGCTATAAGCAATATACATCATCATATTCACTTCTTACATTAAAACCCTTTAACTTAATTGACAGTCTACAATTAATAATATTAATACAGTTCCCTTAAATCTACTAATAACCTTATTTCCCTTCCTCCTTTCCACTATTTTTTCCCTCTTTAACCATTTTCTCTTGGTCTCTCCAAAATTCCACTTCTTAATAATTTCCTCCTTTTATCCCATTCTTTTAACTTCTTCTTTTTCTTTTTTTCTTTTTGTATTTATTATAGCTTTTCTCCTGAATCCTTTTTGTCACTTTTAAATATATTACTCAAGTAATTCTCCCCAAGCCTTTTAATCTCTTTCCACTATTTCCTTCTTTTCCCTTTGATTGATTCTTTTGGGGGGAATATTCCCCCCCCATCCACTCTTTTTTTGCCATTGTTAATCCCAGTGAAATCATCTAACTGCTTTTTGCATTCAATTCCTTTTCCTTCAATATTATTTTCTTGCTCCTCATTTATGCTCATTTTTTCCTGTTCTGTGTGTTCCAGCAAAATTTCTGACTTTTTATTACCCTTTAGTGATCCACACATGTTTTTAAACATCTCAATTAATTCCTCACACATCCAAGACTCCATATTGTCAATTTAAAAAATTGTTAAAGCTTTTGATTTATATTTAATTAAAATTTTAAAGTCCATATAGTCTCTTTTTAGTTCCAAATAGTATCCAGTTCAAATATTTATCCAATCCACTCCAAGTTAAAGCTTTGTTATCTTCCACAACTGTTGAGAGTTGAAACCAAGCAGTTCAGAAAAACAGATATTCCTTAAAAGTTCTCACAGTTTCAGGATTATCTTTTATTAGTCAAGGTCACAGCTGTTATTTTCTCTTCTATCTTCCAACCAATATTGCAGTAGTCTCTTTCTGCCAACAGATGTCACTCTCAAATCCACAATATTCTCAGATCAACTGAGTATCAAAGCTGTCAAAATATTTTAAATCCACATAAAGAGTGCTTTTCCTCGGGTTTCTTTTATTATTTTTAGTTTCTCCAGGTCCAATTTTAAATCCAGTTTCTTTTTTTACCTGTGAGTTGGCCAATCACTCACCCGGTACCAGCACTCCGTTCAGACACTGCTCCTGCACAAAAAACCTAGTCCGGTTATCCTAGCTTCAGAGCAGTCATTTTTCAATGGCCTTTCAAGGAACTTGCCTGTTCCTCTTGGTCATCCAAGGCACCTCTCCTTCTTCACCATTCCTACAGGACAGTTCCGGTCCGAAGACTCCCCCAACAGCGGTTTGTCCGGCTGGATTTTCATGGAGGTTGTCAGAGCCCACTATTTTTCCAGCCGGTCTCACCACGACGCTTCCGGTTTCTTCAGAACCCATAGCTTTTTGAATGTTGACTTTCCACAGGACCTTCCAAACAGCAGTTGTATCAAACCTGTTCATCAGGAAGGGGGACAGCCTTCCTTCCTGGAATGTTGTTTGCAGCCTCCAAACTGTCCAAAAAACATGTTTAGCTTGTTTAAAAAATCTATGTCACTCTTACATGTCAGGGAAGATGCCTTATAGTCGGTAATAACTCGAATACTTTGTTTTATGTTTGTTTGTTTGTTTTATTAAATTTGTATACCGCCCTACTCCCGAAGGACTCAGGGCGGTGAACAGGCACAAGATAAAATACAGAAATACAAAAGTTAAAAACAATTTAAAACCAAATTAAATAATATTGGCCCACGACAATTAAAATCCCAATAAATTTAAAACAAATTAAAATTTCAATTTAAAATTTAAAAGAAAGGGGAGAAAAATTAGGCCAGGCCGGCTTGCTGGAATAAAAGGGTCTTAAGAGCACGGCGGAAGGTGCGCAGATCCGGGATCCTCCGTATCTCCGGGGTGAGCTCATTCCAGATAGTGGGTGCCCCCACAGAGAAGGCCCTCCCCCTGGGGGCCGCCAGTCGACACTGCTTGGCTGATGGCACCCGGAGGAGACCCTCTCTATGAGAGCGTACCAGCCGGTGGGAGGCTATTTGTGGTAGTAGGCGGTCCCGTAAATAACCAGGTCGTAAGCCATGGAGCGCTTTAAAGGTGGTAACCAAAACCTTGAAGCGCACACGGAAGACCACCGGGAGCCAGTGCAGCTCGCGCAGGAGAGGTGTTACACGGGAGCGCCATGTTGCTCCCATAACCACCCGCGCGGCCGCACTCTGCGCCAGTTGGAGCCTCCGCGTGCTCCTCAAGGGGAGCCCCATGTAGAGAGCATTACAATAGTCCAGTCGGGAGGTGACAAGGGCATGAGTGACTGTGTGTAGGGAGTCCCGATCCAGAAAGGGCGGATCAGGCGAACCTGATGAAAAATCCTCCCGGTCACGGCCGTCAAGTGCTCTTCTAAAGACAGCCGTGAATCCAGGAGGACACCCAAGTTGCGAGCCCTCTCCATGGGGGCCAGTGATTCGCCCCCAATAGTCAGCGATGGCATCAACTGACTATATCGGGACATCGGAAACCACAGCCACTCGGTCTTGGATGGGTTGAGCTGAGCCTGTTCCTCCCCATCCAGATCCGCACGGCCTCCAGACACCGGGACATCACTTCAAGGGCATCGTTGGGGTGGTCCGGAGTGGAGATGTACAGCTGGGTGTCATCAGCATACTGATGGAACTTCACCCCGAAACCACGGATGATCTCGCCCAGCGGCTTCACATAAAAGTTGAACAGAAGGGGCGAGAGGACCGACCCCTGTGGCACCCCACATACGAGGGGCCTCGGGGACGACCTCTGCCCCCCTGCCAACACAGACTGCAACCGGTCAGAGAGAAAGGAGGAGAACCACTGTAGAACAGTGCCCCCCCACCCCTAACTCTTCCAGCCGGTGCAGCATGATACCATGGTCGATGGTATCAAAAGCCGCTGAGAGATCTAATAGGACCAGGACAGAGGAGCAGCCCCTGTCCCGAGCCCTCCAGAGATCATCAACCAACGCGACCAATGCCGTTTCCGTGCTGTACCCAGGCCTGAAGCCCGACTGGAACGGATCCAGATACGTCGCTTCATCCAGGTACTGGGGGAGCTGTCGCGCAACCACACTCTCAACTACCTTCGCCACAAAACGAAGGTTGGAGACTGGACGATAATTAGCCAACACTGCTGGGTCCAGGGAAGGCTTCTTGAGGAGAGGCCTCACCACCGCCTCTTTCAAGGCGGCGGGGAAGTCACCCTCACCCAACGAAGCATTTATAATCCCCTGGAGCCAGCCTCGCGTCACCTCCCGGGAAGCCAGCACTAACCAGGAGGGGCACGGGTCCAATAAACAAGTGGTCGCGTTCAGTCTACCCAGAATCCTGTCCACGTCCTCAGGGGTCACAGGATCAAACTCATCCCAGATAACATTCTCAAGACCTGCCCCAGTCCCTCCCCCTGAGACTACCCAGTCGGAGTCCAAATCTTCCCGGATCTGAGTGATTTTGTCATGCAGATACTGAACAAAATCCTCGGCTCTACCCTCCAAGGGGTCCTCCCGCGCTTCCTCACTGAGGACTACAAGCATAGGCTTTCCAAGCAGAAGAAAGACCTGCAGGCCAGGTGCCAGCGCCTGGAGGCTAAGCAGGCTGAGATGGTCAGCCAGTTCCAGACCATGATGCTGTCCTTCTGGAACAAGGCCCTTCGGCTCTTCGCACCAGCGGCACTTCCCTCCAGGCTTCACCCAAAGCCCCGCACCAGGAGTCTAAAGCAGACCCCAAGTCGGAATTTCTGCCCCCCTCTGACCTGCACAAAAAGAACCAGAAGGGGGAGACTCTGCAGCAACACAAACATTCATTGCATGTATCCAGCCTAGGGGCCGTAGTTTGAGGGGTCCTCAAATAATTTTTCTGTGGACCACCACTGGTCCATGGACCACCGGTTGGTGACCACTGCTTTGAACCATAAGAAACTTCTTTATTTCCCCAAAAATTTACAGTACTGGAAGATTAAAATAAAATTACTCTTATCTATAACAGTCTGAGCCCAGGAAGATCTACAAACCATAGATCAGTTCCTGTAAGGAAATGGGGACCCATCATGCATAGGTAAATGGTTTCATTGTACAGGATAGCACATTAAAGAAATCCATCCTAAAACTAGACTTTATGTCAATGCAGAGAAACAAATATAGTGCCTTGTATTTCACTATCTTTTAGTAATGCTCAGTCTTATTTCAATCCAATGTATTGGTATTCTCAGGTAGCTAATACTCTTTATCAGTATACTAACATAGGAACTCAGACATTTTCCTGAAAATGAAAGACTTCTTTTTAATCCATCCGTCATTTATTCAAAGAGGGCTTATCTTGCTCCATAGAGCTTTCCACTAGACTAGTACTTTCCACAACAATGCAGAAAAGTACATAAAAATAGTTAAATACATTGGATGATTTCCATATCCTATAATGAGCATGCCATCAGTACTTAATTGTTAGGACCTTTTTTTGAATCACACACATTTATCATATGAGTCAGGAATACAATCATTACAAAATCCAGCAAACCTAAGAAATGAACATGATTTGGGTTCCATAATAAAACTGTGATACGGGTCAAAATTCAGTTCCTGTAAGGGATTGTCATGCTTGCTATGGACTCTTGATGAAATCCCATATTTCCTTGCATTTGAGTTATTTTCACAAGGAGAAATACATTTCCAACTGAGTGAATTAATATTTTACATAAAAAACTATGAAATTACTTTATCTTAAGTACCCCATCAGATAAGGTACAGACAAAACTTAGATGAGATAAAGGTGAGCCAGTGACTCTCCAGGTGTTACTAAGCTGCAGCATTCAAGTTCTTCAGTGGATATCACCAAGGGGAAGGATTGCTGAGAGTTTCCATTTCTAATTTAGGAATGTCTGCTTTTTCTGAATAAATCTAAAACTTTTAGTTTGCTTAACACATTTTTATTTTTTTCAGGAATTTGGGAAGTCCTGGGAACAGGTTCAGTCAGAAGATGATCAAGAATTGTTCCACAATCAAGAAGAGTATTTGGAATTTTTGTTTCATATTTAAGGGCTAGTAACATGGGCTTCTTTAGGCTTGATGACATGATAATGATAGACAAAATAGCAGTCACTGAAAAAATTAAAAATGAGATTTTCAACATTTTCAAGTATGATTAGTAATTATGGGGAATGGAAGTGAATTGGGATAGTCAGATTAAAAAAGGATAATTTAATACCTTTCATTTTATTTTTTAAATTATATCAGTTCTGTCCTCACTATCAGTTAGTCTGTGTGCAGCTCAACATGTAGCTAAATCTACCTATCCGCCAATAAAACAAACTGTGTGCATAGATCTAGATGCTTTATTGAAAGAACAAGATATGGTGAAACTGGGGAAGATAGAAATACATATAATGAGAACCAAATACAAGATAGGCAGGATTGAGTTACTGCTGAACATAACAATTAATAAATACAAGCAATCTAAATCTTACCAGTGATGCTCTGTCTGGGATGTGGATTTGTCCTTGGATGAACATGTGCCACAGATTAAGATGGATTCTTCTTTGTGCTTCTGTCTCCTCCAAATGCTAAAGAAAAATGAAGTCTGGCTTCCCAGCGTGCACTTGTTTTGAGAGTGCACTTGTTTTGAGAGTGCAGGCTGATGGGTAAAGGGATTGGGTCAACTTCAAAACAATATAATTGGTATTTGTCTGTCCGGCCACTAGATGGGGATAGAGAGCAACAATAGTATATAAAGATTATAAATTGGCATGACAATATCCCACCTCAAATTTACTTTTGCACCCTAAGGAAAAAATGTTAGTGTAATGATTGCCTCTCCTGCCAACTTAAGAAAGTAAAGACTCTTGAAACGTGGTCGTTCAAAAGGAACCTTTTATTAAGCAGAAGTGAAAGCAAGCAAGTTAAAGCAAGATCTGAATACCCTTAGGCAAGACAAGTAGGATTAAAGCAGTAGAGACCTCTCCCTTTAAATCAGAATGCAGATTTTAGCCAATACACAAGTGTGAAGATGTTTTCTTTACTAGTTTCCCTGAGAACCCAAACAAACATGTATTCACACTGTTATCCTTTAAAGTAAAACGATCCACATGGCTATCATAAACATTCCTCCACGTTAAGAGGATCTCAGGGCTCTTTGGTGCCAGGATATAGGTTGTAAAATATCTGTTGACACAAGCAATGCTATTAAATCACAATGGAGTCAGAATATTATGGTGGCATCATTGCAGTACATGGAAAAGAGATAGCGGGGAGGTGTTGGTTTTTAGCGGGATAAAACTATACTTAAGCTTAAAAACATGGCATCTACTTTGTTTTGCTGCTAAAAATTAACCACTTAAATTTTGGTAACTGCAAAAAAAACCCCATTCTGGGATATGTTATTTTTTTCTTTCTTTGACATAAGCAGCATCCAGTCATAAGTACCTTTGACCCATTTGGGTGATGTATGTTGTTACAATTTATAACAGTTAATAGATGGAATAGTTATCTCCTCAAAATACTAAGACCAAGAATAAGAAGAAAATAGCAGCATGCTTGGGAATTGCAAAACTTGCAATGCTACAAAAATAATATGTGGGAAAAAGTATATATGACAAAACAACGTAGAGTGGATTAAACCTGCTCAGTGATAACAGAAAACTGAGTATCTTCAGGGGTAGGAAGGAGGAACTAAAAGCCAATGGGGACAGGTATGGAAGAGGAAATAGTTTAAGATTGCAGCTGACTGATGAGAGCAGAATTACACCTTTCTGCTTTTTGCAGGAATAGATGAGTTAAAACAGATTTTGTTTCCATGCCTACAATTTTTCTAATAATTCCAAAATGCCAGTTACAGATGGTTCTTTGCATTGTTTTTTTTTATAGGGACTGGTCTGATTGGGAAGAACATCCTGTTTGTGCAATCTGTCTCTTCTGTGAAAAGCAAACTGACACCACAGAAAAACTCTATGTTCACATGGAGGTAAGAAGAATGTAGTAATGTATAATTTTAGATTATGCATTGTAAATTACATATTGTGGGTTTGTTAGGAAGGTATTTGTTTTAGCAGGTTCTTTATTATGAATTTCTTTATTCCATTTAGATCCAATTTTCCCCCAAGAGCTCAGAGGAACTTTCATGAGGTTCCTCTTCATTTTATCTACAATAAACCTGTAAAAAAAAGTTGGGCAGAGAGATGAACCGGTGAATTTCCCTGACTAAGGGTAGACTTACATCTCCCCAGTCCTTAACACCTTAGCCATTATAATACACCAGTTGTTTGTTATTTCTTTCTTTGTTCCTTCCTATCTTCTACCATCCTCTGGAATCCATTTAAGCTCATGCCGACTGTTTCAGTGACTCCATCCTGCCACCTCATTCCCTGTCGTCCCCTTCTTCTTTTGCCCTCGATTTTTCCCAGCATTAGGCTCTTCTCCAGCCAGACTTCCTTCTCATTAGGTGGCCAAAGTATTTGAGTTTCATCTTCAGAACCTGGTCTTCTAAAGAGCAGTCAGGGTTGATCTCCTCTAAGACTGACCGGTTTGATCGCCTTGCAGTCCAAGGGACTCGCAGGAGTCTTCTCCATCACCATAGTTCAAAGGCCTCAATTCTTTGGTGCTCTGCCTTTCTTATGGTCCAACTTTCACAGCCATACATTGCAACTGGGAAAACCATAGCCTTGACTATATACACTTTTGTTGGCAGGGTGATGTCTCTGCTTTTTAGTATGCTGTCTAGATTTGCCATAGCTTTCCTCCCCAGGAGCAAGCGTCTTTTAATTTCTTTGTTAGTATTCATTAATTTTAATGGAATTATAGCCTTGGATAGATAGATTAGATGCAGAGCTATTCATGTTGGAGAAAGGAGGAACATCTTGACTCAGAAGTTTCAGGAAATCTATTTTAAATCGTTTAGGGGTTTAGATAAATGTATGGTGGGCTTCAGATTTAGTAGAGAATGATGTATAGACACTGATCTTGCTCTTAAAGGGCAGCTATGCTTTCCATGAATGTAATGTAGCACTTTTGTTTGCGGTCTAGGATTCCATTTAATTAACATTCTAGATGTGTGGACAGGATACATGGTGCAAAGAATACAAGTACACCTCTCCATAAAACCTCCAGTATCAACACATGAGGTTTGTAAAAGAGAATCCAAAGAATCAGAATAGAGCTGGAAGGTACCTTGAGGGTCTTCTAGTCCAACCCCCTGCTCAAGAAGGAGACCCTATACCATTTTAGATAGGTGGCTGTCCAGTCTTTTCTTAAAAACCTCCAGTGATGACGCACCTACAACTTCTGAAGGCAAACTGTTCCACTAGTTCAGGGATCGGCAACCCACGGTTCCAGAGCCACAAGCGGTTCTTTGGGCCCTCTGCCACGGCTCCCTGTCCCATCACTGGTTTGCCCCGCCCCTCTTATTTCTTTTTTGGACTCCAGCCCAAAGTAGCAGGAAGCGAAGGCTGCTTTACGCTCAAATGTGGCGTGAAGGCAGGTACAGGGCAGCTTTGCTCCTGCACTCTCCTCCCCCCCTCCTCTCGTAACCCCATGGCCTGCTGTGGATGAGCCGAGAGTGTGCGCACGTGCGAAGAGACCCTCAAGTGAGCCGCTGCCCGCCCCGTGCGCGCCTTTCCTGAGCTTTGGTGCTCGCTTGAGGAGGGTCTCCCCACATGTGTGCACGCTCCCAGCTCAGCCACAGCTGGCCTGGGCGTCCTGAGAGGAGGAGGGGGAAGAGGGTCGCCGGAGAGTGCAGGAGTGAAGCTGCCCTGTATCTGCTTTTGCGCCACATTTGCACATAAGGCAGCCTTCGCTTCCTGCCACTTCAGGCTAGAGTCCCAAAAAGAAATAAGAGGGGCGGGGCCAACCAGTGATGGGACAGGAATGGAAACTCCTCACTTTGAAATGGCAATACAAATCCCCAAGGTAATTACTATTAGTGTTGTATAAGAGAGAGAGTAACATATTGCTTTAGCAATTCATATGACTTCCTAATATGCAACTATTACACATCCACATGAACTTTTCAGTTGCCTCAACAGAGTTAAAGTTACGCCCTCAGGAAAGACACATGCATGTTCTCTCTCTCTCTCTCTCTCCCTCCGCGCTCCCTTCGGCCGAAGAACTGCCAGGGGTGGGCGATGACATGGCAAGGCGATGGCCAGAGCATTAGTGCAAGAGAGAAGCCGCGTCCTGTTAAGACCCTCTTAAGTGAGCGGCCACCCACCCCACGCATGCCTTTACTGTGTTTTGGCGCTCACTTGAGGAGGGTCTCCATGCGCGTGCGAACGCTTCTGGCTCAGCCACAGCTGGCCAGGGAGTTACGAGAAGAGGGGGGGAGGAGGAGGAAGGTCGCCCGAAGGGAGGTGGGAGAGAGACATACACACACATACAGAGAGAGAGAGAGAATGATACATAGAGAGGGGGGGAAGAGAGGGAGAGAGAGTGATACAGAGGGAGAGAGACACAAGAGGGGGGAAGATAGGGAGAGGGTCAGACACAGAGATACAGAAAGAGGGGGGAGAGGGGGAGATAGGGAGAGGGGGAGAGAGACATAGATAATAGTTTTGTAGCTGGGTAGGCATGGCTAGGTGGTCATGTGACTGGGTGGGAGTAAGTGACATTGAGTTGGCCATGCCCACCCAGATTTTGTGGCTCCCGGTGAGTTTTTTTTTTTCTGTAGGAAACGGGTCCAAGTGGCTCTTTGAATGTTTAAGATTGCTGACCCCTGCACTAGTTAATTGTTTTCACTGTCAGGAAGTTTCTCCTTCATTCCTGGTTGCTTCTTTCCAGGGGTGGTATTCTCTTACCCTCGCTACTGGTTCACAAATGTGAGCACGTGCATGCAGGTCCTTCCGTGCATGCGCAGAGCGTCAAAAAACTGGACGTGATGACATCCAGGTTGGTGGGCGGAGCCTTCCGCAGCTGCCACTACCAGTTCACCCAAACCAGATAGAATCAGCTGAATACCACCACTGTTTCACTTCTTGATTAGTTTCCATCGGTTGTTTCTTGTCTTACTTTCTGGTGCTTTGGAGAATAAGTTGACCCCCTCTTCTTTGTGGCAGCCCCTCAAATACTGGAATACTGTCATCATATCACCCCTAGTCCTTCTTTTCTCTAGACTGGTCGCACCCAATTCCTGCAACTGTTCTTCATATATTTTTGTCTCCATGCCCTTAATCATCTTAATTGCTCTTCTTTGCACTTTTTTCCCAAGTCTCAACATCTTTTTTGTAATGTGGTGACCAAAACTGGATACAATATTCCAGATGTGGTCTTACTAAGGATTTATAAAGCGTTACTTCACATGATTTTAATTCTATGCCTCTATTTATACAGCCAATGATTATATTAGCTTTTTTTGGCTGTTGCTGCACACTGCTGGCTCATGTTTAAGTGATCATCCACTAGAACCCCAAGGTCCCTCACACAGTTATTGAGCCAGGTTTCACTTAATTTGTACTTGTATCCTTGGTTTTTCCTGCTTAGGTGTAAAACCTTGCTTTTCTCCACATTAAATTTCATGTTGTTGGATAGGGCCCATTCAAGTCTGTCAAGATCTTATTGGATCCTGAGCTTGTCTTCTGGATGTTGGCTATTCCTGCCAATTTAGTATCATCTGCAAATTTGATGACTTCCCTTCTATTCCCTCATCTAAGTCATTTATGAAGATATTGAAGAATACTGGACCTAAGACAGAAACTTGTGGTACCCCACTGCTTACTTCCCTCCATGTAGATGTAGTACCATTAAGGACTACTCATTGAGTATGGTTTGTCAGCCAGCTACAAATCCATCTGGTGGTGATACTGTCTATCCCATATTTCTCTAGTTTACCAAGAAGTAGTTGTGGTCTACTTTGTTGAATGCCTTGCTGAAGTCTAAGTATACTATGTCCACAGCATTTTGCTGGTCTACTAATTTAGTCACTCTGTCAAAGAATGAAATAAGATGGTCTGTTTTTAACAAACCCATGCTGGCTACTATTTGTTTCTAGATGTTCATAGGTCTGTTTTTTAATTATTTTTTCTAGTATCTTTCCAGGTATTGATATTAGGCTGATTGGTCTGTAGTTTCCTGGGTTTGGTTCCCCACCCCACCCCTTTTTTTTAAAGATGGGAACCACATCAGCTCTTTTCCAAACCCCAGTGCTCCAGGATTTTTTTAAGATATGGTACAATAATTCTGAAATGGTACAATAATTCTGAAATAACATCTGCCAGCTCCTTCAGAACTCTGAGATATAATCCATCAAGTCCCAATGATTTATATTTATCAAGATCAGACAGGTGTTCTCTTACCATTTTCCTGTTTATTTTAATTTTTATTTCTAGTCTGTCTTTTACAATTATACTTTTGGTAGGTTGGGATATAGTTTCTTTTTGCATGAAGACTGATGCAAAGAATGAATTAAACAACTCTGCTTTCTCTCTACTGCCTGTGACTTCCTTGCCATCTTTTCTCTGTAGTGGATGGATTGTTTCCTTTTTTTCTTGTTATTTATATGTTGAAAGAAACTTTTTTTAAATTGTTTTTGACTTTTGTTGCAAGTCTTTGTTTATTCTGAGCCTTTGCTTTCCTGACTTAATCTTTGCAGATTTGGGCTATCTGCTGATATTCTGCCTTGGTTATGTGTCCCTCTTTCCATTTTTTGTACTTGTCCTTTTTGTCTTTCAGTTTATCAGAGGCATATTTGTGCAACCATGTTGGTTTCTTCTTGAATTTCTTGTTTTTCTTTTTCAATGGTGTTGTGTTGGACTGGACTTTTATGATCATATTTTCCAGAATTTCCCACGCTTCTTGAGTTATTTTAATTTTTTTTAAAAAAAAGTTTTTTATTTTTTTTAGACAAACAAACATTTAGTACACCATTCATTTCTTCCATATGACATCTCGGTGTTATCTCCAAAAACTTTTCTACTATCTTCGTTCTCGCCAAGTCCATTACAAACATTTCTCACTGATCTAATGTTCTAGTTGTAA